TTCCGAATAGATATGTATCAGTTCCTTAAAAAAAATATTGTTGCAGGGATTCAGTATATATTTTCATTAAATCGGTTTATCTACGCTGATTTTCAGGAAAATCAGCAGAATTTGTCGATTTACTTTAATATGGTGAAAAATCAGTAAAGGTATAATAAATAAGAGCGATATATGGTTAGTGTCTCAACTGCCCACTAAAAATGAATATCTTAATTTTACTTCATTTATAGCTTCAATTTGTACAGCTATATATGCGATCATTACTGATCATTTTCATTTTGATAAAAATGACGTTATTTTAGAAATATGACATCATAAAAATTACGTTTTCCAGCCATTTTAGAATATTTTGTATAAAACTACCTGTTTTCAATCAGTTTTTCTTTTAGAAAATATAGAGCGCAGCCTAGAACAAGCTTTAGATTCTTACCAAAGATGTGTCTATCCAATAATAATTAGTGACAGAAAAATTATGTATGTTTTACACTGAGCTCTTTGCTTCCATAAAAAAAAACATCAAGAAAAAAGCATATTTTATGCTTTTTTGTTTGATAGCAAAAATAGCATTATTTCTCATGTCATTAACAGCTAGTGAGTGTATATAAATGTAAAAAATATATTGGAAATGCTTCTAATATAATCTCTTCTACAAAATGAATATCAATTGAACATATCTGAATGTCATTCTAAAATGTTGATTTTTAGGGGGCCAAAATTGACTTTTATCATATATACTCCTTTAAAATATAACAATTGTGACATTTTTACATCAGTGACACGTAAATGTAAATACTTTGCTTTTGCATTAAAAATATTTTTTTTTCAATCTGCTTTCCTTTATGAAATTGAGGGAAGATCAATGCAGATATGTATCGTCAATGAACATCGAAAAAGAATGTCCTGTTAATTTACTTTTAACGTTTTTACATATATGTTGTATTTATTCAAATAATCCCAGTTCTTTTTTCATTGATGCTTGATAACAAGACAAGGTTAAGCAATGACATATAGAATGTCCCTCTATAATGACAGACTCAAGTATTTGAATCAATAGTGACAAAATTTTTATACAGATAGAACAGTGAAACCTTTCTAATCTGACATGTATTAGAGGATAATTTTTTGCCGGAATAATTAGGGTGTCGGATACCTCAATGCTAAAATGTGGGGAAAAAAAGTAAAATTGGAAAGGAATTCAAAGTCGTAAATGTGGGATTAGATAGTTTTCACTGTAATTATATCTCTCTAGGGGAACAGACAAAAAGTACTACCCAACACACACCTTAGCAACATAATTTAAAGGGTCAGGTCACCCTACTATACTTCATACAATGTAACGATATTCACAAGTTTAATGCTTTAAATTTTATAATGTAAAAAATAAACGTGATGCCTTGAGATCGTTTGGTCATTAGATAGAATGTGATGAGAGTATTTTTTTTTTTCAAAATACAATTACCATGTCTTATAATTAATATTACTTTCATAATTTTACATTTTGTTTATACTTAGATACTAGTATGTTACAACAAAAATAAATTATAATACATTATTGAAAACGAAGGTATTTTGATTAATACCAGAACTAAAACTCAGGAAAATATTTTTCCAAATAATATCTATGCCTATTATTTGAGAGACTTTAATTTGTTCCATATTGGTTTAAGGTAAATGCTATCAAAAGTTAGATGCTTAAAATGTTCTTACAAGCAACATACGGGACAATATTTATCAATTTATTCTTTGATAAATTCATTTACTAAGATACAGATTATTTGGTAACAAGTTCAATACTAATTATAATGTTATTTTTTTCTCATATACCTTTTGCCATTGACTTTAAACATTGATTTTCTTTTGCCAACATATTTTCCGTAATCGGCTTTAAATACTTTTTGTAATATAATGTTGCATAGAAAAATTATGTTTTGCCCTCAATATTTCTTCTTTTATTTTGATTAGGGAGAGATATTTATCGAATTAGCACCTACTGTGACAAGGGACCTCGGTCTATACGATCTCATCCGAAGGACCAGTCTCCACGTACCACAGTGAGATTCGAACCCGCGATTTAAGGATCAACTTACTTAGCGACTCTAGAGCAGACCCTGTAACCACTGCACCACGCGGGCGACTTGTTTAATTATATATACTGCCTCTGTGCATTTTTTAAGGAAAGAAATTGGTCGCATGTTAGTTTGTTTCCTCCTCTGTAATTTTGTTTACGAAGTCAATTTTAATTTTTATAGCTATCAATGCCCTCGTTCAGAATGTCAATATAGATTTTCATCTACAAAAAACAAGGCTGATTTAATATGTCATCAATCTAATTATATCTGGTCGTCTTTTTTTTATTGTATTTATACTATTATGTGATTGATGTTTGTTTTCCAGCCTTAGATAATTAGACGTATTCTTTTCATTTTCATAAATCCATTTAGCCCTCGATCATATTTATATAACTTTAAATTTATATCTATATACAGTAGTTTGTCTTATTTCGACCTCTAGATTTTTTCTTTTCTTGGTGAATCATGATGATTTGAGTATATTGACTGTTTTCTTTCCTCTCAAATACCTTTATCAATACTTTTTATTCTACTTTTCAAAGATTAATTGTCGTGAGTGCAGAATTGAATGCCTTTATTCTTTATGTGATGTTTGATCAATTCCCATTTCGTGTAGGTGTTATACTCACATAATTTTTTTTTATCTTTGGGAAGTTTGTTGAAACTGTGATTTATCAAGGAACAATAATACTGATCTTGTACAAAGGATGTATGTAGTTTTCAAAAGCTTTTCCCTATTGTTAGATGATGCTGAACATTCATAAATGAATGAGAGGTGATCGCTAAATATATAATGTAATCATGCTTTGTGTTTTTGCAGCATTGTTAAAGCTACGAAAAGGAGACCGAGCCTAATCTATATGGGAAATATTCGATGTAACACCACACATAAAAAATGAAATAGTTATTCCTCATACTTCCATAAAATAATATATTTTGTAGCTTTCAATTGTATAAGCATAACAAATTTCATTAATCCTTTTCTATGGAATGCATTTAAAAAGTTGCTAGGTAAATTCCACACAGTAGTTATAAAGAAATCACTGATCGCAAAAAACTTGTCGACATATTGTCACTCTGATAATATGACGTATTTCATGTGCTGTGAAGGGCAGATAAAGTATTCTTTTCAGTGGAAAAAGCTTTTCATTATTAACAAAATAATATTTACAGACTTTAGATGTACTATAACATATAATACCAATATAAAATCTTGGCTTAGTGCTTTGCTCTGCTTTGTGTACAGATTTTGTGTACAAGGGCATACACTGTACACTTAATAGATCTAACCAAATTTCAAGATGAATAAAGGATTTTTTTCTTGACTTGAAAATTGCAGCTGCTTTATGTAAAACCAGAGGATTACTAAATGTGGACATAAAATACTTAGCAAAGGTCAGGCATATTTTGACATCAGACTACTTACATGAAATTTTAACTAATAAATAACGAATTTTATTGAAAACAAAAGCTTTTTCCAAAAGGTGCATGGAATGCACAAATGACTGGTAACATTTTTTTTAAACTAGGGTATACCATTGTGAAATTGAAATTTGTACATGACCATCCAGTACACATATTATGCATTCATCATGTGACTTTTCATGGACAGGTCCTAACTTATTTCAGAATTTCAATAAGTATGTAAGTTATTTGAAAATAAAGCAGCTACATGCTCATAAAAATGAAAACAGTTTTCAAAAAAGTTCCCACTTGTTGATCGTCTATATTTCGCTGACTTTCCATAGTAAGCTTTAAGGTCAAGAACTAGTAAATGAAAGGTGCCTACAGATTTATCAAATTCAAGAAATGAATTCATCTAATAATGCTTTATAACTTTAGATTGTTCAAAAAGTTGTTTCGGGGCATAATTTGTAGGTTAACAAGATGAAAAACTGTAAAAAAAAAAAAAAAAAAAAAAGATTAAGAAAACCAGTCGTGAATAGGGGAGTTTTTTTCATATTCGACAAAGAAAATGAATTTAGATTGCCTACAGTATCTCAGAAAACGGTAATTAGCATGTTCATGCCCTCTTCTTCAAATCAAAATCAAGTTTAATATACGAATTCGGTTTAATTTTCATTTGATTTCAAATTGAATGTCTTGAAATTACCCTTTTCCTACATAAATTTGCTGAAGCCGTAAAGTACGAGAAAAGGAAAGTTGAAATTGATTATAACGTCATAATGGATCTAGCACGAAAAAAAATAGTCTGAAGTTATCTACTAGACCTTGACCTTAACAGTGCTGCATTATCTCAATATAAAATCTCGGGAGTAAAACAAAGTTTTTATCATATGAAAACAAATTGTATTCTGCTTTAAGGCAAGTTTCTTTCGTTACATTACGTTAAACCTTCTTTATCAGATTTTATGTCCGACCACAAATCATACATAATGTTACTTAATGTATCGGTTTCATAAGCATCTTTCCTAATAAACTTACACTCTTAGCTTCGTGAAGACGTTCCGCTGCCACACGATCACCAGAGAGCATTGCCTGAGTGAATGAGTTTAAAGCCTGCTCAGATGGTTTGAAATGCTCTCCAAATACTTGAAAGTCACAGGGGTATAAGTTTCATAGGATATTTTGCTCCCCGTTGACGGTTGCTTTATGATTGTTTTCAGTGTATACGTACTGGGGACAAGTCTCATCGCCTGGCTCATGGAATTTGTTTTAGTAAAACTGCATTTAAATCTATATTTTTAATACCAAAGTATTCTTAATCTTGATCATTCTAGCACTATTAGAAATGTCTTAAAAAACGGCAAAAAAAAAAAATTCATTTTGAAATATCATTAACTTCCTTTCTCTTTTCCTGAGAAAACTTAAAGTTTGAGTGCGTTTATTTCAGGCAGTTCATCACGTGATATCCTGTCATGTAAGAGTATCGAATAAACTTTGAGGAAGTTTACTTCTCGTGGCATCATTTTCCATAACCCAGATACTTTCAAAGGAAAAAAAAAGTTTTGTAATATGCATCTGTAACTTCCCAACAGTGCTGGTTCCATCAAAACAATCCAAAATTTCATCAATTTCATCTTAAGGTGAGTGAGATTTTCAATCTTATTTATAAATATTCTTTATTTTAATGAAATTGCATTAGAAAGTGAAAATCGTCATGAATATATGGATATTTTTAACGGGGGGGGGTGGCTTTCTGAAAATGGAGGTCGGCAAAAACTTAAACTTTTCGTCAAAATATAAAAAATGTGGCTCAGCATGGATGTACAGTATAAATAAGGAGTACCGGTAAATATTTTTTACACACAAAAGGGTTTAAGATTAAATTTAATGTGCAATTATAGATAATGTAAGGAAAATAGGAGAAAATTTCTATAGCTTAAGAACTTTCTTGGTAAAATTTTTGACATGTACACACGTAGACCGGTTGACATATTCACAGGATTACAATTCGACGCGTTAACATAACATATAGTTGACAGGTCGATGGATTGACAGATATACCAGCTTACAGGTCGAGGGGTTGGCAGATATACAAGTTCACAGGTCCAGGGGTTGATATGTTGACGTACTGTTTTCTTGACAGGTTTGTGTTTTCAAGAAGACAGTTCGACAAATTTACAGGTTGACAGATTGTTTGATAAACAGGGGTACATTATATCATATTATAGAAGATAGTCGAAGTGTTTACAAGTCGAAATGGGACGAGTCGACGGGATAAAATGTCGACAGAATGACGTGTTTTACAGGTCGGCAAATAGAGAAGTTGAAAACCCGACAGGTCGACAGGTTGACAGATTATTATCCCGATTGGGTTTTAGCAATTATTGATAATTATTGAGAAGCATTGATATTTTTAGGTTTGTTTTGGATTAAACCTTATCTTTCCGTTAGGTTGGCAGACTAAACCTTATCTTTCCGATGGATTAGTGGACTATAGCCTATCTCTGGGGAGGGGTCAAGAATTAACCCAAATCTTTCAGCCTTGTTCAAGGACTATTTCTTATTTCGGATTGTATCGATAAATCAAGTTATTTATTAAAACTAACCATACTGTCTTGTGTTAGTTGATGCAAAGAAATTTTTTTTTAATTCGAAAGAATGAAATGAGGGTAAAAAATATTTCCAATGGGTAGTCAACTGTCCAACTATCAATTTTGTTTACGGCTATAAAAAGAAATTGAATAGGTATCAACTCTTGACTTGTCGATCTTTGTTTTAAGTGGAAACAGTATCACAATTTAAAGTCAACTGTCGATCTAACGTCCTTTATTGTGACAGGATTAATCAATCTGATATCGAACTATTGATCTTTATTCTGTACAAGGTAAACTTTTACAAGTTTTCGAGTAAGTCACATGTTAAAAATCTAAATATTAAGAAGGGAAACAATAATCTTTTGAACAATGATAAAATAATATTGGTGCGATATTGTGGATAATGGCAGTAAGGAAAACTTCTTTAAAAAGAAGGTATAGACTCTTTATTAGACACAAGAATCGGGAACAATTGTATTTAAAAAAAAACTATCAAATTAATCTGTCGATATTGTAGCAACATGTACCCCGTGTATATGACATAATTTTCATGAATAAGAGTTACATGTAACTTCTTATGTGTCAACTGTCAGCCTGTCGACTTTTACGAAGACAATAAACGTTAATTAAGTATCCCATTGTCAACCATTCAAGAGAAAACTCTGCAAAACAATCACTTTTTTTCAGGGAGAATATATGTATTTCCTTCCTTATTTTGAGTTTGAACGATGGTAATTGGTTTTACTTATCTACTTTTTCGTTGACGCCGGTTGAACATATACTTTGTGCACCATTTGGGAAAAAATATTAAAAAAAAACCCACATGTTTAACAAACTTATAATATCCCTGCTTTTTTATGTTCTGATAAGACAGGCACTATTACTGAAGGTACATGTACCAATCTTAAATCTGTAATTCCTGCTATACTTCTACATATTTTGTATATAGAACTTTTAATAATAAATAATTAAACAACCGTTATTATATATTAAAATGAAAAAAGATAGAAATATCGTTATGCTTATACCTTTAGTTTAAAATGGGAAAGGGATACCATTGCATACAACACGTGTTCAATGATCAAAGTATATCTAACATGAAATTTTTTTGTGCTCCTGCAATAACCTGCTTTTTCATAAAGATGAATAAAAATATATAGCGTTATTTGATTTTATTATCATTTCAAATAATTATAATTTATTTACTATAAAAAAAATGTAAGAGATTTGAAAAAAAAATGCAAAAAGGCGCATACGCATCACTGCTAATTTGACAAACACATATCAAAAAGTTCTCGACTGAAGTTCAAACCATTCATTGATTTTTTTGTTGTTCCGGTTTTTTAAAAATCATACTTGGGAAAATGTGATTGATTTTGACAACTTGCTAAAGATTCTTTTTTTTTTTTCTAGATTTCCAAACTGAATTTTTCATTTCATAAGCGTGGATTTTCTAAAAAGAGAAAGACCCCACATGACGATTTGAAATTCAGGTTAAAACTATTTTAATTTACCACCATTAGACTTGAAAACCGACAGCCGCATTATTTTAAAGAATTGTAACCCTTTTTCATCTTACTGTATTAAAAGTGTATTTGTTTAAGACCTTGCAAAAATTATGCTATGATTTATCTATAAAGAAACTACCTTAAGTTTTAATCCTAAGCTTTTAACATGTATATTGTTTTTAATCTTCCTTGCTACATATTTTCGCAAAATTTACATTCTATTGTTCTAAAGTTATATATTAACATCATTTTTATTGCTATTATTATTATTATCAACTAAGTTGTAACATTTATATTTGAATACTTTACACATTTATTTCAATCATTATGTATACCTAATTTTCAGAGAATTCTTCTTTTATTTGAAAATTAACATTTAATCTGTAAACATGATTTCTTGAGATAGTGTATACAATGTATTTGTCTAAGAGAAGAAGTCTATACAGCACTCTTATCATCATTTTCTTTCATTTTAATTTTTTTTGCTTTGTTTTTATGCCCCCGTAAACGAAATTTCGGGGGTATATAGTTTTTGTCGTGTCCGTCTGTCTGTTTGTACGCAAAACTTTAACCTTGTCCATAACTTTTGATTTATAAGAGGTATGACTTCCATATTTCACATGTGTATTTCTTGTGACAAGACCTTTCTTTGGGTACGACCAAATTTGACCTTGAACTTGGAGTTTGACCCACTTTTACATGAAAATTTTAAAATTTTACTTTGGCTATATCTTTTGAACAGTTGACACCAGGACTTTTATACTTTACATATGTAATGTATGTTGAAAGCCCTTTCACTGGACACCAACAACCCTGACCCTTTGACCTTGACCTTGTAGATTTTTGTACTTGTTAAAAAACTTTAACTTTTGTCATAACTTTTGAACGGTAAGGGATAGGGCTTTCATATTTCATATATGTAATCCTTTTGAGAAGATCCTTTATTGGATACGAAGAACTTTGACCCTTTGACCTTGACTTTTGAGATTTACCTACTTTAAAAAAACAAATCTTGACCCTTACTTTTAAAGATTAGGGCTAGTGCTTTCATACTTTACATATTTTATCTTTATGACAAGACCTTTCTTTTGATAACAATAACTTTGACCCTTTGACCTTAACCTTTGAGTTTGACCTACTTTTTTAAGAAATTGAAAGTTGACCATAACTTTTGAACAGTAGACACCAGGAAATTTATACTTCACATATGTAATGTTTGTTGACAGACCTTTTACTGGATACCAACAACCTTGACCCTTTGACCTTGACCTTGTAGATTTCTTTACTTGTGAAAAAACTTTAATATTGGCTATAACTTTTGAACGGTAAGGGATGGGGCTTTCACACTTCATATGCGTAATCCTTGTGAGAAGACCCTTTATTGGATACCAAGAATTTTGACCCTTTGACCTTGACCTTTGATACTGGCCTACTTTTAAAAAATGCAAACATTGACCGTAACTTTTAAATAGTTAGGGATATTGCTTTCATACTTTACATATGGAACTCTTGTGACAAGATATTTCATTTGATTACAAGTTAGAACTTTGACCCTATGACCTTGACCTTGGAGTTTGACCTACTTTAAAAAAAATAGCCTTGGACATAACTTCTGAACGGTAAAGGCTAGGGCTTCAATACTCTCCATAAGTATTCTATGTTGCCAGAGCTTTCATTTGATACCAATTACATTGACCTTTTGACCTTGACCTTGGAGATTTTTGTACTTATTGAAAAAAACTTAAACATTGGCTTATTTTCAAATTTCAAAATTGTTTTCCAGTGAGAATACCTTACTTTTGTTACCAATTAATTAAATTTGCATTTAAGAAAAGTTTAATCTTTACTATGTTGCCATACGGGGGCATCTGTGTTTCACAAACACATCTTGTTATATATATAATTTATCCGGGTAATTTATAGCAATTAAAAACATATTCAAATTCAAAAGTCTCTTTTATATTTAATTGTTTAAAATAATTCGTTCCAATTTAACTTTTTTTCATTTAAGATAACTCATTCCATAAATAAATATGTCAGTCTTCCCAAAAACCAATTAAGTTTTTTTTTTCTTGCGTGTGTGCGTGTATAGTCGGAAGATGAATTTCCGTCCTTATATGTTTTATCAACTTTCCATATTACAGTTAGTCTTTGTCTGTTAACATATTTTTACAGCAATATGATCGTCAAACTATGAAATCTGGATGTTCTTAAATCGATAAACACATGTTTACCGCTATTCTATAAAAAAGAGATATCATCAGTAGAACAATAATCACCCACATCGTTATTGACACTGTAATATGTGGCAATTTCGTCACTTGTTGCGATTCTACCATGTCTTTTAAACACATTCTATTTGAGTAATTATATGCTCAGTAGTAAATCTTACCTATTAAAGCAAGTAAACAAGTTATTTCTAAATACACTGAACACCAATTCATAGTTGTTTTTTTTTCCAGAACTAAAGAAATTCAATCTCGTGAATTTTACTTTCAAGAGACGATCAATATTGATAAGTTACGTTCTACTGCACATGACAACAATGTTGCAGAATGGGTGATACTCAACTCCGTAAATGCACCTCTGTGGTCAACAGGATAATCTTATTTGTGTGTCTATCTATAATGTATACCAATTTTGACAGCATTAGAAAGTCATAAAGACCAGAAAAAAAAAATCAAAAAGGTAATCGCCGATTAAATAAAGGGGGGAGGGGGCGGGGTACTGAACATTACTTCAACTTGCTAGACTTTTTTCTTTTACAATTAAACTGTCTTTTAATTAGTTTGTGTTTTTTCATAATAAAAAAAGGATAAAAGTAAGGCACATGTAGTTCCATAATTGCTAATTAAAAGGGTTTATACGAGGGGTGATCAAAAAGTTCGCGAACTATCTCTATATCTACAAAACCACAAATTCAGATAAAAATAAAATTTGGTACACAAATAGCCATACACAAGTTCTATAAAAAGCACACGCTGAATAAAGTTTCTATCCTTGATTGTGACGTCACAATGTGAAAATGACGTCACTATGCGGGTCACTTGTGATGAAAAATGGTTGTCTCAGTCGAACTCGTTTAACAAACGACTGTACAATTTATTGTATGTCTTAGAAATAATTTGAGGTATGATCAGATAATAATTTGGACACAGTTTATTAAGATAAATGACTTCCTACAAATTCAATCAAAGATTGGGTTGATCGTTTTAGTGAAGGAGGGCAGATGGTCAAAAATGATACTTGTCATGTTGCCCAGTGAAAAGAGTAAACTCAGGTGACCTATTGCTATCCGTTTTCGTCCGTCGTAGTGCGACGTGCGTCGTCCGTCGAGCGTTAACATTTGAACATTTTCAGCTCCTTCTCTGCAACCACTGAACCAGTTTCAAAGAAATTTGGCACAACGCATCCATGGGTGAAGGGAAACCAAAATTCTGAATTTTATGATCCCTGCCCACCTGGGGCCTGAGGGATGGGGCCAAAACCACTAAAATTAATGCAATCTTTAAAAATCTTCTTCTTTACTCCTGCACATCAAGCAGTCAAACTGTTTGCATGATTGTAATCAGCATTGAGTCCTCTACCAAAATTGCGAAATTCATGGCCCTGGGGTCGTGGGTTCTAGTGTGAGAGGGGGGGGGGGGGGTAAATAAGTATTTAGTGAAAATGCATCATTTCTTTGAAAATCTTCTTCCCTGCTCCTGGGTATCAAATAAACCAACTAAGTACATAGTTATGATGAGCAAGAGTGTCTCTACCAAAATTGTAAATGTTTTGGCCCCAGGCTCAGGGGTTCTGGTGTTAGGGCGGGTCTCTATAGATTGTATAGTGTGAATACATGAATTCTTTGAAATTCTTCTTCTCTGCTCCTAGGTATTAAATAAACTAACTAAGTGCATAGTTATGATGAGCAACAGTGCTTTTACCAAAATTGTGAATTTTATGACCCCAGGGTCAGGGGTTATGGTAGTAGTGCGGGGCTCTATTGATTATATTTTGAAAATACATGAATTCTTTGAAAGTCTTCTTCTCTTCTCCTGGTATTTAAATAAACTAACGTAGTGTATAGTTATGATGAGCTAGAGTGCCTCTACCAAAATTATGTATTTTATGGCTCCAGGGACAGGGGTTCTGGTGTTAGGGCGGGGCATTATAAATTGTATAGTGAAAATGCATGAATTCCTTGAAAATCTTCTTCTCTGCTCCTAGATATTAAATAAACTAACTAATTGCATAGTTATGATAAGCAAGGGTGCTTTTACCAAAATTGTGAATTTAATGGCGCCGGGGTCAGGGGTTCTGGTGTAAGAGCGGGGCTCTATTGATTATAAAGTGATAATACATATAATCTTTGAAAATTTTCTTCTTTGTATCTGGGTATGAAGCAGATGAACTACCTATATAGTTATGATGAGCAAGGGCCCTTATCTTCCAGAATTGTGAATTTCAAGGCTTCAGGGTCTGGGGTACCATAGTGGGGGGGGGGGGGGGGGGGCTGTACTTATATACTGAAAATAAATGTCAGAAATCTGCTCATTAGTATTAATCAAATATTTTTGAAAGCAAGGAAGTCTTTTCAAAAATTGTGCAGTGTGTGGATCTAGCCTAAAGGTCAGGAATCCATGCATGGTAAGGACACTACTGATTATTGCTGAATATAACTGATAAGTTGAAATGCATTTTTTGTTCCCCTATCCTGCCTATGGGTATTATTTAACCAAGCTAAGCAACAGGTAAGTGTATTGTTATGATGATCAATGGTGCCTCTTTCAAAATTGTGAATGCCATAGCATCTGGCTTAAAACATGAATAAAATTCAATAACTTGAAAGTTGTTGCATGATGCTCAGGTGACCTATAAGGCCCATGGGCCTCTTGTTTGATAAAGCAATTTGCTATCAAAGACCTCCAATTTACACTTTGAAACGTAGTTGAATATTTGAACAATAATATAATTATTAAATACCTAAGATATCGTTTATT